TACAGCTCACTTCATCGGATGCGTACTGTGGAAAGTGTAGAAGATCTTTTTATATACACACAAAGCATGAAAAAATACCTCCTCCCACCCCACTCTCCTGCTGGTAATAGCTTATCTAAAGTGATCACTCACTCTCTTTGATAAGCTATTACCAGCAGGAGAGTGGGGTGGGAGGAGGTATTTTTTCATGCTTTGTGTGTATATAAAAAGATCTTCTACACTTTCCACCGTATGCATCCGATGAAGTGAGCTGTAGCTCACGAAAGCTTATGCTCAAATAAATTGGTTAGTCTCTAAGGTGCCACAAGTACTCCTTTTCTTTTGACAGTTTTTATGTTGTTTGAATTGACAATGAATATTCACATGTGCTTTTTCTGTATGTCAGATGAAATTTAAAATGACATCTGCATAATGAATTGTGTCAATACTTAGCATATATTTAAAGGCACACAATAATTAAGGATCCAGGGGCAAAGTTAGTTAATATTCTGACTTGATCAGTCCTGGTCAGGCGAACAAATTTATGTTCTCCGGAATAAACACCAGATGCCAACCTTGACTCATGTGCATGTCAATTTCAGGGAACGGATCATGGCTAACATCTGCTCTGCCATGCAATCTGTAAATGGACATTTGGTTGCACTTGCAAACCAACAGTGATATAAAACAGGAACAAAATCCAGACATAACTTGTTTCTAACAGAGAAGTGAAAGCTACAAAGGCCAAATGATCATTTAATGTGGACATGTTGTAACGGCTTAAATGGTCAGCTAAATATCCTGATTATGTTCCCTTTCACCCTGAGTACCATGAAAAACTGGATCACTTCCAATTTGTTTGCTATAGCAGTTAATTAAGTTTAATCATTCACCTGAGAAGAATATCTCTGCGATCCAAATTGCAGGTTTTTCTGAAGATTCCAATTTCAAATCTGCAGCCTTTTTCTTATATTTAGTGTTTTTATATTTTATGTTTATAAAAGGATTGAGTTTTGAAGAGCCCTCAATCTGGCTCTGACCAGACATTCATAACTTTTGCACAGAATAACTTGTGCATATTAATTGTACATACAGTGGAGCAGACGCTAAAGTCTCTTTGTGCCACTCTATTGTTGGGGGTAACTTAAAGTTGATCTATAGGAGCAGTGGAAGATTCTTCCAGCATGTGGCATTCCTAGGTTGGCATAGAACTGGTATGATCCACTCTACACCTCCTCCTAGCAGCCTCTCCAGTGTATGTTTTTGGGGCAGGCAGGAGTGTGGCCAGAGCACACTTTAATCTGACAACCCCAACCAGCATAATGGCCCCATGGGAAACATTGAAGGCTAGTGTAATTTAGAGGAACCGTAATGCTATTCTAAATCATGCTGGGGTCAAATTGACCTCCAGCTGCTCTGGAGAAGTGCAAAGGTGGCTGATAGGCATCCTGGTCCCTCTATCTCACCCCCTATGATGGAGCTCTGGTGGAGCTAAGAATCAGGATCAATGCTTACACACTTTACTGATGTGTGCTTATGGATGTCTGACAGTCTACTATTCTTTATCTACCATGCTGAATATTCTTAACTATAAACACTGATCTGAAAAAAACAACGATCGAGTTTTACAGCTCTACTAAAACAGTGGTTCGTCTAAACTTTGGGCCTATAATTCGTACCTGGTATTAATTTGTTTTTTGAAACAAGTAGAGAGCCACATAAAACTTTGCTCAGTTTATATTATAGCGTAAAGCTGCATAAAATGTCTATCAGTTTTACACTGGAGAGCTACACTTCCAATGGCATTGTGTTGATCAGGTCCTCCAAAAAGGTGTAGCATCAAAAAGATATTGAAAATGAGTAATTCCTTGTAATTTGGTTGCTAGGAAACTAAAAACATGTTTCCATTACAATACAGCACATTTGACTTAAATTATTATATTGCCATTAGCCAAACGTATATGTATTTGTTATAGAAAACGTGGCAGTATTTTAAAACTGTATCAGTCAAAGCATATACTGTAGGAACAATAGAAAAATCTAGGTTTTTAAAGGGCCATAATCACCACAGAATCTGAGCAGCTTGTATACAGTATATTGATGAACTGATCCTCAGAACATCTGTGTGTGGCTGTTAAGTATAATACCCATTTTCCAGACAGGGAGCTAATTCAGAGAGATGGTGGCTCCAATTCAACAAAGCATGTGCTTAACTTTGACAAGATCAGGATTCTCAAACTGCTAGGACCACTTCTTGAAAGAGAATATACACAACCCCTTCCAAATATCCCACTTCTAATCTGACCCCATCCTACCCTGTGAGAACTACAGTAAATTAATACATTCGTTTGATTTTAAAGAAATGTATATGACTGTCCTTTCCCATGAACTAATCTTTTCCTCTTCCTGTCATCTGATCCCATGAACTAGATGCTAATTGGTCATTTTTTATATCTAATGTCTGTGTTCCTGTCAAAATAAACTTCATTCTGTTTTAAACGTTTTATTCTGCCAACTTTGAACCTGCAATAATATTTACTGATCTGGACTTTCCTTTGCTTCTACACCTACGTTTAGTCTTGTGTTAGTAATAATGAACCTTGCAAGAGTCAGGAGAGCAGAAACTAGAGAGGATAATTTTGGACTGTGGGGGCTAACTTTGAGATGAAGCAGTTCCCATTAACTTCAAGTGGAATTTTGGCTGTTCAGTCTTCTGAAACTTCTACTCCAAGTTTGGTCTCTGCGTTTAAACATCTAATCACCCTGTTTGCATGAACACTTCTGAGTTTTGGAGAATGGTCAGAGTTTTCTATGCAAATTTGGAAGCCACTTTTAAACAAAACCTAAATGTTAAGTAACCTAAAATGTTCAATAGCCATCTCCAATAGAATTGTGGGTGCAATTTTACTCCTGCCTGTAATATCTCACGGTGCCAAATTAATTTCACCCTCAGATGTATCCTAAAATTGGAGCCTAAGACTTAAGAAGTCAAGGTGAACTTTATCTGTGTTCAAGAGGCCTGCACAGGCCTAGGTATAGTGGACTATGTACCAGAGAGCTTTTTGAGTGGTGCATAGTCCTTGTTCAATCCCCCTGCACTGGGGATGGATTTCATTCTGGATGAATTGATAAATATATGTACATGGTCAGCATTAGAATGACACAGCAGGAACATCCTTGGCCTATAAACCAGAGACTGATGGACTGAAACCATCTTCTGCTAGCTGCTGCCTCCTCTAAAGAAGGATAGTCTTGTGGTTAAAGCTGGAACAGGGACTCAGGAAATCTGGGTTCAATCCTAGATTAGCTCCACCACAGACTTTCGGCATTGCCAGCTCCAAGCATTCAACGGTCATGAGTCAGGGTCCCCAAAATAATCTGATAATGTGATTTGGCTGAAAAAATGATCAATTATTTGTCTTGTTTTTTTAGCCTTTAGAGTGCACATAGGTCACATTCTCAAGGTTTTCTCTGCAGCCATGACAGCCAGAAGCTTACCTTAAAAAAAAAAAAGCTGAAAACTCCTAATCACAGCACTCCAAGGTTTGGGGTATTAAGTAAAATAACAGATGTTGCAAGTAATGTGATAAAAATCACAAGAGTAGACAAGAATGAACGAGTTTATATCTTACCTAAGGGAAGTCTCCCAATCTTTCAGTGCCCCTTTCTGCATCTATAAAACTAAGATAAAAATACTATGTCTACGCTTTTTCTGACTTGTCTAATTACACTGTAAACCTGTTTTGGCAGGGATTGTCTGGAATGCTCATAAGGGAGACAAGGTGGGTGAGGTGATATCTTTTATTAGACCAACTTCTGTTGGTGAAAGAGACAAACTTCTGAGCTTGAAATCTTGTCTCTTTCACCAACAGAAGCAGGTCCAATAAAAGATATTACCTCACCCACCATGTCTCTCTCATATTTTGGGACCAACACGGTTACAACCACACTGCAAACAACTATGTTCCTGGACAGTACTTAGCACAATGGATCCCTGATCTCAAATGAGTCCTTTAGGTGCTACTGTAATACAAATGATTAATAATAATGTTTTGAAAGTTAAAGTGAAGGCAAAATTGACAAATAAGTCATCAATTCTGTTTAAGAAAATGATTTGTGGATTTCCTGGTTGCACTCATCTGTAAGGTATCACAGTTCTTTGATACCTAATATTTTTAGAGCTCTCTTATTTAATCCCTTTAAGAAAGTATCTGCTATCATATCAAAGTGGTTCATGCCCAAAAGGAAGGCTCATATGATTAACCTTCTGCAACACCAATGCAAAAGTAAAGTTAAAGAAGATCAATGGACAGATTCACTAGTAGACTCCAGCTGCTTTGCATCACTAGGGTGCACTGCTGAGCAGCTGGATCATTCTGGTGAATCTGAGCCCAAATCCTTTTTCTGTGTATAATAAAAAATTGTGACAGGTTTCAGAGCGGCAGCCGTGTTAGTCTGTATCAGCAAAAACAACAGGGAGTACTTGTGGCACCTTAGAGACTAACACATTTATTTGGGCACAAGCTTTCGTGAAGTGGGTTTTAGTCCACAAAAGCTTATGGCCAAATAAATAAAAATTGTGTGGTACATAATAGAGAAACCCCATAAGCATATTTTCATATTTTAACAACATGGAGTATAACAAGCAGAAAATCCCATACACAATGGCAACACTGAAGGATGGCATTTTTTAACACCATGGGATGATTTCAAATGCCAGAGGGAATTGCTTTTATAAGCATTCAATCTATAAGATTCAGTGAGCATAACCTGCGAGAAGAAATTAATTACATGCCTGGGACATTTTCACTGAGAAACTGCAGCCTGTAATATAGATGTGTTAAATCCAATTGTAGACATCTCAAGCCAGTTATCTCCAGATTTAACATACTTTTAGTCAATAAGGAAAAATAAATAAATGAAGGGGGGGACCATTTATAAAGTTCAGTTCTACAATGCCTGCTTTCTGTTTTTGCCAGGAAGTGAGTAATGCATGCCAAATAAATCAGATATACACCAACCATTCCCTTGCAGAAAGACTCCTAAAATGTAGGACTTCCTGTGGAGTAGGCGTACCAATTGATATAAATCTCCTAGCATGGACAATTTTCTCTCCAGTTATTTCAGGATAAGAGCAAAGTCACATGCTCTCGGCATCACATGAGGATTGTCAGGGGAGATATCTTCTGAATGCCTAATGAGGAATCAGAGAAATGAACTGGAAAAGAAAGATGGTTGTGCCAGAGTTATTGCTTCCACACATTGTCAGGTGACAGGTACCTCCTCAGAGGGCAGAATACTATTTTATGACCAGAATATTTATTGTAAATTGTATTAGCTATCTGTAACATAGTAACCTCTGGTTTCAGAGTAGCAGCCGTGTTAGTCTGTATCCATAAAAAGAAAAGGAGGACTTGTGGCACCTTAGAGACTAACAAATTTATTAGAGCATAAGCTTTTGTGAGCTACAGCCCACTTCATCGGATGCATGCAGTGGAAAATATAGTGGGGAGATTTTATATATACAGAGAACATGAAACAATGGGTGTTACCATACAGACTGTAACGAGAGTGATCAAGAAAGGTGAGCTATTACCAGCAGGAGAGCGGTGGGGCGGAACCTTTTGTAGTGATAATCAAGGTGGGCCATTTCTAGCAATTTACAAGAACAGTAGGAGGGGAAATAAACATGAGGAAATAGTTTTACTTTATGTAAAACATCTACTCCCAGTCTTTATTCAAGCCTAAGTTAATTGTATCCAGTTTGCAAATTAATTCCAATTCATCAGTCTCTCGTTGGAGTCTGTTTTTGAAGTTTTTTTGTTGAAGAATTGCCACTTTTAGGTCTGAAATGAGTGACCAGAGAGATTGAAGTGTTCTCTGACTGGTTTTTGAATGTTATAATTCATGACATCTGATGTCTGTCCATTTATTCCTTTACGTAGAGACTGTCCGGTTTGGCCCATGTACATGGCAGAGGGGCATTGCTGGCACATGATGACATATATCACATTGGTAGATGTGCAGGTGAACGAGCCTCTGATAGTGTGGCTGATGTGATTAGGCCCTATGATGGTGTCCCCTGAATAGATATGTGGACACAGTTGGCAACGGGCTTTGTTGCAAGGATAGGTTCCTGGGTTAGTGGTTCTGTTGTGTGGTGTGTGGTTGCTGGTGAGTATTTGCTTCAGGTTGGGGGGCTGTCTGTAAGCAAGGACTGGCCTATCTCCCAAGATCTGTGATAATAACCTTTATAATTATCTCAATGCTAAACTTAGACAAGGGCACTTGTAAAGTGATATGAAGTAGATAAATTATGCATACTTAAGCATCTGCCAAAAGGATAGTTATTTCACACAGTGCACACCAGTTAATGCTTCACAGTTCCTGTGACCCGTCAAGATGCTGAAATATTAATAAAAACAAAACAAAATTACCCAAACAGATTAGCCCCTTTGAAAATTGAGGCCTGATTTTCAGAGGGTCGGTGCTCAGGACTTCCTGAAAATCAGATCCATTTAAGCTTGACCCCCCAGAAGTGAGGCTTTCAAAAATCACTGATCACTTTTGAAAATTTAGGCCACTTTCAGTCCTCTTGTCCACAGTAAACTGGGGGCAAGCAATGACATAGATAATACATTTGACGTGCATTGGAGTGCAGATTGACTGGTGAAATCACAGTGTTGCTGCAGAACAATAAAGTAATCAAACCCAGCATGCTGTTTTATGTGGTCGCACTGAATTAATTCAAATAGACATGGAACAGGCATAAATAGCATTTTGATAAATAAAGTCAAGGAGACCTTATGCAGCCATAAAATGATTTATTGGGCACTCCATTTATATCTCTATTCTCTTTTTTGTAACAGGACCACTGTTGAAATAACTGTTCTTTCTCTAAAACAGCTCGTCTAAATGACCAGGGAATTCTGTACAGCATGGACATGCAGAATTAGACTCTCAATGTTGTGTTTGTCTGCATGTGACCCAAGTAACTTAGGTGCTGTCTACATGGGGAGTTTTTTCTACCTACAATAACTTTTGGGGTTTTATTCAAATCAAAATTACCTGTGTCCACATGATGCAATCCCCAGGGGTGAAAGTAAGGCGGTACGGCCAGTATAGCGTACCTATCAAAAAATAGCCGCCAGAACTGGCCCAGACTGCTGACTTTAAAGCGCTTTAAGAACCCTGCTTAAAGAGCTGCCACAGCAGTGCTTTAACATCACTGCCCCTTTTGCGCCCCCTATTGGCGGCCCTGCCAGGTCCCTACCAGCAGGGCCACTGATGAGGGGGGCGCAAAAGGGGCAGCGACGACCCGGCAGGGCCACCGATGGGGGGCGCAAAAGGGGCAGCGACATTAAAGTGCTGCCATGAGAGCGCTTTAATGTTATTGCCCCCCCCGGCCGCCAATGGGGGGGGCAAAAGAAGTAGCCGCCCCCGGCCCTTTAAATTGTTGCTGGAGCCCCAGGCGGCATGGGCCAGGCAGTGCAGATGGGCTGGCTGGGGGACACTGACCCCAACCCCGCTCCTTCTGCCCCAGGCCTCTCCCCTTCCGGGGGCAGGGGTCCAGAGCAGCCCTGTACCGGTAAGGGCTCAATTTTACTTTCACCCCCGGCAACCCCTTCATGAGAATTAACTCACCAGATATTGTGAACGGGCTAATCCAGTTTAAAACTTGATTAAGTCCATTGTAGAAAGTTTAAGGTTCATGAGTAAGGTTCATGTGAACACATCTGTATTTCACAATGACTTGGCAGTCCACCAGCTGCTATCCCACATTGCATTGTTTCATACCAGGACCAACCTGTCTAACTGTGTGCCTTCTACAGCTCTGGGGTCATCTTGATCAGATTCACTTCCCCATTTAAATGCTGGCACACAGGTTCACCCTCATTTATAATGGCAAGCCCCTGTATTTGCATACCTCTGTATTTTAAGAGCAGTATTTCTTTCTCCTGTGGGTTCCTGGTTTGAGCTCAGCGGGATTCTACAGTAAAATGAGGTTCTGGTCTCAATTCAGGAACTAGTGCAGCTAATCAAACACCAGTATTTCAAAATAAATCTGTTTGGACGAAATGGCAGCAGTTGAAGAGCCAAGACAACTTAGTTAACAGAGACTGAACTCAATACTTGGAAGGAAGGGCAAAAGAAAGAGAAGTCAATGGGACCTACCCATGTTAGTGATTACATTTGCACTGTGAATATCAGGATTGTAGTTAAAACATCAAATCTTCAGGTTACAGAGCTGCTAATCTCTTCAATATCTCAGTGTCAGAGTTCCCCAGTGGCAGGCTGAGGCAGGAGAAGATGCAGGCTGGAATGAGCCGGCTAGTGTGGAAACAGACACTGCTATAGCAGGAGTAAGGGCCATCTAGAGCAGTCTATTGAAATTACTAGCAACAGGAATACTCCACGGCAGGTAGTGAATTTGAGCAGACTGGAGATACTGCTTCTCTCAGGAGCCTATATACCTGCCTTTGGATCACGTGTGTGGGTCCTCACCTGTGGATTGGCTGAATGCTGCTTGAATGGTACAGGGCCTATCACAAGACCTACAGGAAATTGCCTCTGGTCACTCATCAAACTCTCTGGCTCAGGGGTGACTCATCACATTTAAACAGGCTCAAAAAGATGTAATTTAGGTTTACGTAGGTTTAGAAGTATCACCATCAAAAGATGCCTACCAGGCAGCTTCGAGCCTGAAGTAGGCTGGGGGCATGTATGTTGTTGGCCGGCTCCCAGAAATGATCAGCAGGACCACAGCCCACCCAATAGACACTCTGCATGCGTTTCCCATGGAGAATCTTGGAGTCCAAGATCTGCTTCATCAGGAATTCTTTCTGTCCCAGGACCATAATGCAGAGAGGAGGTAGTCGTATCCATCTGGGAAAGGAGTTGTAGATGTACTTTTTTGGCAGGGAAACAAGTAACACTGGGTGTACATTCCTTGTATTGGGTAGCTGGAATTGAAGACCACCAGGTTAATCAGTGGGACAACTTGAGACACAAGCTTCATCGTTCTCCTGTGACTGACATGGCAAGTCAGGGGCAAGTGATTACATCTCCCAAATATGGCCAGACCTGGTTGACCATCAGGAACATAGATCTGATATTTGAATAAGAGAACCACATTCTTTACTGAGAAGTTCAAATCAGGGGTTGGATTTGTACTGGTCGACATCAATTTTACCACAAATGGATTTTGAGGCAAGAGAGACTTTACAAGAGACAATAAATCATTGTGCACAAGTATGTTAACAAATCACTGAAAGACTTGCCAGAAACAGACAGGAGTGGAGGAGTTTTGTCACCGCTCTAAACATCAGAGGTGTAATGGGAACATGATGATGATGATGGTGTTAACAAAACAGCAGGGCTTCAAAACTATGGAGTGCTCTATGGATCTATTCCCTTGTTCGGGTACTTGCCCATGTCAGATAATGTGTTGGCTTTAACCTTTCGGGATGCCAGGGTGAAATCAAATTGGGAGAAAAAAGAGGGAACAACAGATCTCTCATTGATTGAGAACCTCTACAGTTCTCAGGTGCTTCAAATTCTTCTGATCCGTGAATACTTGAACTGGAAGACAAGTGTCTTCCAAGTAATGACGCTATTCTCTAAAGGTGGTTTTGATGGCCAACAGTTGGCATTTGCAGGATCAGCTGCCTATATTGTAAAGTCACCACTGTGGCCAGATTCATCCCTGCACTAGTGCTAGGAAATGAAGCTTGCACCTCTGTGATCCTGGGGCTGCTGGGAATAGATTCAGTCCCCAGCACAATCTAAGGAGCCCTATGGGATGCCCCATCTGGTGCCCTGGATGCCAGGGCTCCTATGGGCCTTGCAGAGCCTGAAGAATAGCCAACGTGTAGGGATATTCCAATCTCTCCTCCCTGACCCTTCTGACCCAACTCCTGACCCAAAAATGCATCTCTGCCCTGGAAAGGGTGAGATTTAGGCTTGTCCTAAAATGGGGCTGTGTACAGCTTGTGCCATGTAGTGTGGGACTTCCCACCAGCTTTCTAGACCAGAAGCCAAATGTGCTACCAGCTGAGCACAGTACTGACATGTGGTTATATGTTGACCAGAAG